TTTAAACTTTGAAAGCAAAGTCTGCTTTATAAATTTCAAGTTCACCTTTCAAAAGACCCTCGCTAACCTCACAGCTGTAAGTTTACAAAACCACAGAAAAATCAATTCAAATACAAATTATTTTTAATCAAACCATGAAATACAACAGAATTGAACATGAAATCTTTGTGAAATAGTTTAATTCAAACTCGTTTTGACCTCAAGGAAAAGAAAAAAAACTGACATCAAATTATGTACAATTTTATTGAAGTTCAAATATACAGTTTTTTACACTATGATTCTGACTATTTACAATTTATCAACATTATATTTATCTTATCATCCAAAATTCTAAACTCAACAGAAAAAAATCCAAAATTAATAAGAAAGTCTTTCATGACTTGTAAGTAAAATTAAGTTTCTCAAACTGAAAACAAGAACTAAGCAATATGTGGCCAACAAAATTTTCAAAACCACACAAAGTGATGAAAATATATTTTTATTTACAAAAGAACAATATTATTATGATATGAAAYTGTACAAATAAAACTAAGAAATGATRAATAAATAGTTTGATGTGATTTGTTGTTTGGTTTATTTATACAAGATTGAATTATCTATATTCTTAACACAAGACCAGGATGATTATCGTTACAGAATTGTTCAGCCCACTTTTTACATTCATTAGATACTGGATTACGAGACAGGTTTAGATGGGTTAAATTACTTGGTAAGTTATTTATGATATGTCTTACCCCTACATCAGTTATTTTATTACCAGCCAGGTCTAGATAGGTTAAATTACTTGGTAAGTTATTAATGATATGTCTTACCCCTACATCAGTTATTTTATTAGCATACAGGTCTAGCTGGGTTAAGTTAGTGTTGGGTAAATATTTACCCAAACACTCAGCACATTCATCATACAAATAACAATACAACAGCCACAGTACAGTGATTGAACAGTAATGAATGATAGATGGCATTAAACTACTTAACCCAACACTTGTTATGAATGAGATATTAATGTCCAATCTGTGTGGTGGTGATGATATTGATGTAGCAGTGGATTCCACTAACATAGCGATTGCTGCACAGTCCGTGTCGGTTACACCTTGTAATCCAATCCTCCCATTACTATTCCAGTATCTGTAGTCAGGGTTTCTAGTCACTTCTTGTTTTGACAAACTTTTGTCTTGAAACTCGTGTAAACATCTTAATGACACCAGTCTTAGTCTGTCTTCATCTTCAATATGTTTACCTAGACACTCTAGTAGTTCTACCATTGATTTCTTGTTATTATCTAAACCTAACAAACCGCTCATGAAGATGTACACCATTTCAGTGCTTTCTTGTGCCGCCATTACACCTTTCTTGACCAAATACAGAGCGACAAAAAACTCTTGAATTGTGAAGTGCGTGAAGCTATATTCACACGTTGGTTTTTGAAAAGGCAAATTACTGGAAACAGGATAACAAATTATAAGATTACTAGAAAGCAACAATTCCTTTTCTGTTGAGTTTAGGTTTTCTAAGTCTTCTGAAGTAAAACTGAATCTATTTTGTTCAACTAACTGTGCCGCTAGTCGTGCAAAATTATCGAGAGTTTGGTCAACAGCCAACGAAGCGGCTTTCTCATCTAATTTAAGTATTGCTTTATTGTAATTTGTTTCGATGCATTTGATAACATTACAATAAAATTCTGTAAGTGTTGCAGGAATTAAATTATCGCGTTTGTTTTTGATTTCCCACTCGATGAAGATGCACATCAAAAAACAACGAAATGGCGCGCGACCAAATGATATGTGGTGCGGTGATCCTTTGACTTTGTTCACTGCCATCTTTCTTACTTTTTCTGGTTTACATTTGAAATACTTCTCAACATAGTCAATTACTTGGATTTTTGAGAATCCTGTAATCTCGACATAGCGATGAAAATGGATTTTTTGGTCCAAAGCGCCGGCTTCGCTCGGTCTTGAAGTTANGTGCCGCCATTACACCTTTCTTGACCAAATACAGAGCAACAAAAAACTCTTGAATTGTGAAGTGCGTGAAGCTATATTCACACGTTGGTTTTTGAAAAGGCAAATTACTGGAAACAGGATAACAAATTATAAGATTACTAGAAAGCAACAATTCCTTTTCTGTTGAGTTTAGGTTTTCTAAGTCTTCTGAAGTAAAACTGAATCTATTTTGTTCAACTAACTGTGCCGCTAGTCGTGCAAAATTATCGAGAGTTTGGTCAACAGCCAACGAAGCGGCTTTCTCATCTAATTTAAGTATTGCTTTATTGTAATTTGTTTCGATGCATTTGATAACATTACAATAAAATTCTGTAAGAGTTGCAGGAACTAAATTATCGCGTTTGTTTTTGATTTCCCACTCGATGAAGATGCACATCAAAAAACAACGAAATGGCGCGCGACCAAATGATATGTGGTGCGGTGATCCTTTGACTTTGTTCACAGCCATCTTTCTTACTTTTTCTGGTTTACATTTGAAATACTTCTCAACATAGTCAATTACTTGGATTTTTGAGAATCCTGTAATCTCSACATAGCGATGAAAATGGATTTTTTGGTCCAAAGCGCCGGCTTCGCTCGGTCTTGAGGTTATCATCGAGACTGAATCACGCAAAATCTTTTTTCGGATTAGTTTGCTGACCAAGGCATCTACTGGCATCTTAGCTTTCACATCATTGGGAAATTCCTCTTCAAAGTCTCTGATTATTTTGTCGCGGTCTTTGTATTCATCAAAGCCATCGAAGACAATAAACAGTTGTTCTGGGTGCTGGATAATGTGCGCCATAATGTCTTCGGTTACCATAGTCTTTTCGTTTAGTAAAAGGGAGTGATTCAGCAGTTCTCTGAGTGTTAGTTCTTTGTTGCCAAGCCGTGCAAGTTGTTTGAATGTTATAAAGTAAGTGAAATAGATGTCGGGTATCAATAAGCTATTGGTTGACCAATCTCTCACAATTTTCTGCGAAAATAGCGTTTTTCCGATACCCGGTTCACCAGAAATCAAGATTGACTTGGGATTGTTTTCTTTGTTTTCGTCAATAAAAATCTCACAGCATTGTGTTAGTTTTGTCACCATTTTACGAGCAACCTGATCGACTTTCTGACCTGTTTGTCGGTGTAGGATTTCTTTTTCTTCATGGTGAAGAGTCAAATTGGTGAAAATATCGTCYGTTTTCACTGTATTTTGATCTATTCCTTTCGGTAGGAAATCTGTTTGCTGTAATATCGATTCCTTGAGTTTGACAAGATATGATTCCAGATCTGCTAAATAAAAACAACACATTTTTAGTCAAGTCCTAAAATACCAAGAAAATACAATCCGTGATATTTATTTATTGTACGGTTTATAAGCGCTTTGCGCTTTTTTTGTCAACAAAATATTTAGCACACACAAAAACAAGAAATGTTTCAGTTTGGGAAATGATTGCATGCACGCAAAAAAAAAACAAAAAAACAAAAACAAAACAAACAAACAAACAAACAAAACAAAACTGATAAAGTTTCTAATTACAGATATGAAAGAAAAAAAAAGTGTAGATGGCTAGAAGTTTTGGATCTTTGGTACAATCAGAATGAATAAAACAAAATTAACTGTAAGATATATATTATATTATATTAAGGGGCACAACAACACATCACCGGGGAGGGGGTGGTAGGGGCTTTAAAACCTTGTATCCTTTCTTTTTTTCACTTTGCTTGGCTCGAAAATATTTTTTACATTTCAAAGCCTGTGTATATATTTATAGATCCATCACTCAGTCATGCATCTGCATAATGTAGTTGTGCTATAAATCCAGCTACCTTCATAATGTATACCGCAGGGGTGGAGGGGTCAGGTGAAATTTTTAATTTCCAAAAAAAAATTCAACACCCTGTCCA